GACAACCCCGTAACAATATGCGTTTTGTACTGCTGTTACACAGCACAAAACGCATAAAAATAACAAAAGTGCAGCATCTTCGAATGCAGGTGCATTCCCAAAAATAGGACCAAAAGGGGGTAAAAGAAACGAATATATATATATATTTCCTTATACACAGTTACCAAATATTTACACCGAGGAAGGTTCAGCACGTCGAATTTCATAAATTTTAAGAATGAAAGGCGAAATTCGCCAGTGGATTGTAATGGAGAAGATAGTTGGCTAGTTAATGTGTTAGCAGACTTTCTGGGGAAATATAATTTTTTCTCGGGCACTGGAAAAGACGATTGTCTTGTTTCTTTTATAATATCAAAAACTATTGTTTAATCTGCAGATTTCTATAATGTAGCTTTACCGTTTCTCTGAAATTTATAGAAGTGATTGCTATCATCATTTTGCAGAAATGTCGGCTCTGGATACGAACAGTGAACTGACTGAACTTGGGCGTATCTTAGCGCGACTTCCGATTGAACCGATTCTTGGCAAAACACTCGTTTTGGCCACTGCTTGCGGGTAAGTCTTACTGAAAAAGTTTTCTATCAGGCTTCAGCAGTGTCAAATCCAAGAACTGAGAGAATGGAGGGAATATTGATGTATCATACTCTTATGTGCACCACTAGATTGTAGCAACCAGGTTGAGCCGGAAAGCCTAAATGGCGAAGGTGCGAAAGATAACAATAAGAGAGAAGGAGAGAAGAGTGAGATAAGACGTTTCGATCCAATTAAGTCATTGAGTCATATACCTCCTAACTTTTGTAAGTTTCAAAAGGATTAAAATATGAGAGGAAAAGATAAAAGTGAGGTAAGACATTTCGGTCCAATTGAGTCATATATACGCCTTAAGTCTTGTAAGTATCTGAGGGATTTACAATATGAGAGAAGGAGATAAGAATAAAATAAGACGTTTCGGCCATTAAGTCATGTGCGCCTTAACTCTTGTATGTATCCGTAAAAGACTGTTGTTGCCGGTGCATCTAGAGTGAGCCCAAAGCTGAGAAGAAATGCTGTACATCAAAAACAGTCTTTTTGACCAACCGTTCGACAAATTTAATATTTTTCGGTTGCAAACCAAATATTTCCAGTTTTTATTCGCACTGTTGTCATTTTTCAGTGTTGGCGAATTGCTGGCCACAATCGCAGCAGCATCGTCGTTCTCGACACCATTCATACCGCGTGAACGAATGGCTTCAAAACTTTCAACACAGCAACGTTCATTTGCCGGCACCCGACACTCCGATCATATAGCCCTGATCAGTGTATTCAATCAATTTCGTAAATCATACGATGAGGGCCCTGTTACCGAGAAAAATTTCTGTGATCGATACTCGTTGAGTTCTACAGTTTTACGAATGACCGGGTATGTGGGTTTTCCTTTTTTTTTGGCTTTTTTTTTTATTTGCGGAGGGGAATTGAAGAAAAAAAA